GATGAAAAATCAGTGTTTTATCGAATTATTAATCCCGAAGAGATTCAGCATGAGAAAACTTTGGGTGGGGGCTTAGAGAAGTTTGCTTATCATGTGGAAGTGGTCGGAGGGATGATACCTTTTTGTAATAGTTGGGCTTTAGTTAAACAATAGGAGGTATGAATGTTAATTTTAAGGGGAGTAATAGCCAAGAAAAGAGAAAGGAACCGAAGCCTTAAATTAGAGCAGGACCTTAATTCCATCCTTAAAGAATGAAGTTGACAAAATAAACCTTTTATTAATGCTGATGATTTTATTAAAAAAATGAAGCCCTGAATTGAGGAGAGAATTAAGCAACAGGGGGAAGTGAAGGAGTTTTTAAGGAAGTGGGGGGTTAAGAAACTAAGTGAAGTGAAAGGAGTAGAGAAATAATGAACTACCGAGAGAGAATGTTAAGGCAAATGTGGGTTAATGATTTAGCTAACAAAAGCCAACAATGAGAGCAGGAGAGGAATGTTTTAGAGAATGATTTATTTAATTTGCAGAATTCTACTGACATAAAACTCTTAGAAAGTTTAAATAAAGAAATAGCTGACTTGAAAAAGCAAATTCAAGCCTTAACTATTTTAGCCGAGGATAGAAAAGCTAAATTAAGCCAAGAACAACAGGCTCTTATTAAATTAGCCAAACAAAAACTGACCAATAAAAAAGAGGCTGCTGAACTCTTAAACCAACTTACCCAGAACTGACAACAAGACCGAGACACCTGAGCACAAGAACGAAAAGAATTAGAAACCAAATATCAAACCCAAAAAGAACAATCCCGGCAAGAACACCAACTCTCCCAACAAGAAATTAAAAACCTCAAAAAACAACTCTTCTCTAACCAACAAAAAGAAGCTGAACTAAATAAAATTCTTAGCCAAAAAAACCAAAGAATTAATTTTTTAGAAAACGAACTTAACCAAACTAACCAAAAACTCACTCAAGCCCAAGAAAAGTCCCACCAAGAACAGCAAGCTAAACAAACCTTTATTAATAATCTTAATCAGGATAAAGTGAACTTACAAACCCAAATCACCACCCTAACCCAAGCCCTCACCCAAAAAACCCAAACCATCAACCACCAATTAACTCAAATTAATCAAAAGGATAATAAACTAACCCGGCAAAAACAAGTCCTAGAACAATTACTAACTAACCGAGAAAATAAATTAAATGAATTAGGAGGACAAAATGACTAAATACAATTTAGAAGAATTCAAAGCCTGACTAGAAGAAAAACCAGCAAGGAGAGAAGGATTAGATGCTCAATATTGAAACAGTAATTTAAGCTCATGAGCTCATAATAATCATAGGTGAGAAATGATTATTCAAACCAAAGGTGAGGAAATCTTTACGAATCAAGTATACAAAGCAGTTAACCGGTGAAAAACTGAAGTAGATAAAGAAACTGCCGAACAAGAAGTGCAAATCCTCAAAACCAACCTAACTAGCCACACTCAACTGCTCACTGAAGAGCAAAATAAAATTCAATCTCTTCAAAATACTCTTACCGAACTTAAATTAATCCAAGAAGCTAATGAGAAAGAATTGAAAGCCAAGCAATCCCAATTAGAAAAAGAACTCATCCAAAGTAAATCCTCTACAGCTTCTTTAAGAAGGGAAATTGAAGACCTTAAAAAACAAATCCAGGATAATAAAACCTTACATGCTAAATCTTTATCAGAAGAGCAAACTAAACTGAGAGAGGCAGCTGAAAAACTAGCTAATCAAATTGCTGCTAATCAAGCTCAAAATCAAGCCATTAGCCAACTAGAAACTAATTTAAAGGATAGTGAAGACATTCTTAAGCAAACCCAGAAACAACTTAACCAATCCCAAACTAAAATCACTCAGTTAGAAACCCAAATCTTAAATCATGAGCAGTTAAAGGGAAGGTATGAGAGGGAATTGAGAGAAAGCCGGGATAAAAACGAACAACTTCAATCCAATCTCACTAACACCCTCAAATCCCTCTCTGATCTCCAAGCCGAAAACAAAACCCTTAAAGAACAAACCGAGCAAAAACAACAAAGGATTTTAGCTTTGGAGGCTGATAAAACTGACCTTCTTAAAAGCCTAGCCCACACTAAGCAAACCCACCAAACCTATCTTAACCAGGAAAAGCAACAACTTAAAAAAGAAATTAACTTAATTAAGGAGGTCTTAAATGACTAACCCTACTCAAAAAGATTTATGAAAAGCCACCCTCCTAGAATTCTTCCATAATTATTTTATAGGGATTAGTTATTTAACTTGTTCCCAAACTAACTGTCCTTTAGTTTTGAATTGAGGAAATTTAGAAAGAAAGCTCTCTAAGAAAGGCAAATCTGCCCTAGTAAAAGTAACCAAAGATAAATTCCTAACTGTAGATATCCAATCCTACCAACTCAACGGCTTAGA